AAATTTTACCAACAAGAACCGTTCAAAATATTATAACTTGAGATTTTTCATTGCAAATATTGAAATTTAAACTTTTCACGCAATTTTACCAAGTACATTGATAAAACTATGACGAACTATTTTCGTTCGTTAATTTTTGTTCTGAGTTGTGGCTCTCTCTTCTGCATTGCCTCCTCATTCTAGATGAATTATGTCGTTTAATTAGCGAGTTAATAATTAGTTAGTGATGGGACACGCGGTGTCGCTATTGAGTCAAAGCGAAGGATACACGCCGCCAGATCAATAAGTCGGCGATCTCTGATCGCTATCTCGTTAAGCTAAGATTTGGTTTCTGTGGAAATACCTAGTTATCCTTCCTCTGTCTATGCTTTTGTGTTGGTGGATTCATATGCAATCATACTCATAGTAGGGATAATGTAGCAGGAGTGAAGATAACTATCCTTAATTATTTTCGTTAACTACTAGACTAATTGCTTTGAAATTTTCAGTGTTTATTAGGGATTGTATTTCTCGCTAAAAGGCTGTTACTTATTTGTTCAGAACATTCCTTTGGGCTCAATAGGATCTGCATTAGCGTTGGTGTGAAGTTTGCGATGCGTTTTGTCTTTTGTGTCCGTTTATTTAAGCATCGCTTACTTGCTAAACAAAATATTTCAAAATTTAATTATAACACAAAGGTTCCAAACTTCTATATACATTTATATATATATATCCTTTTTGTTTTCGTGTCTCTTGTTGCACAGAAAATTTCAAAATCGCTTGTTTTTTTTATTACTTTCAGTCAAAGTGTGTTGTAGCGGGCGAAATGTTTTTGCAATTTAATCCCAAAGCAGTGTTTCACAACTTTTTTCGATGTATTCCTGGCGCTCCGGAAGTATTCGTACAAAGATGACGCACAACCTGAACAACCATAACCTGGTACACATACTATGTTCAGGTTGTGCACCATCTTGGTACGAATACTTCGGGAGCACCGTTCAATATTTAGTGGAATCTCCATGTTTAAAACACATCGCCGAGTTTTCCAACTCCTCGCAACAATTTTATATTTGTTATTTTGGCACTCCCGAAGTATTTGAACCTAGATGGTGTACACTGTAACGCAGTATGTGTACCAGGAAGAGTTAAGAGCCATAATTTCATTTCAATTTTCCCCATTTTAGTCTATTACGAGTTCGGGAACAGCTCAATGACTCCCGTAGTATTTGTACCCGAAACTATGGCGTAACACTAACCTGGTACATATACTATATTCCGGTGTCCGCCATCTTGGTTCACATGCTACGAAAGTACCGTTATTTTTGCATATGATTTTATTTCCTATATTTCTTTGAGGGACTGGCTCAGTTAGATAAGCCGTCTTTCTTGATATTGATTTGTTATTCTTTACATGTTCAATTCAATTCTTTATTTAAGTTATTTAGGTAATTTTTTTGTCATTCCCTCTTAAACTTCAGCCCACAGGTGCCGCTGACTCGATGACTGCCACAGTCTTTTGCGACTCCTTATCTATTGCTATGAATCTCTCACTTATATGGATTCTTATATGTATAAATACATTTTTTTACGTTTTCCATTATACACGTTTGTCAATTTCTAGTGCTTTAATTTTTGTGTTGATTCTTGCATGATAGAAATAAATTATCTGAATCGCACTTTTTTGGACGGCTAGAATATATTTTACAACAGTTGTCGGCAAACTTTATCTACTACCAAGCAAAATATACACATTTCCAGTATCGCGCGGGCCGCACTAATATCCGCCTACACGAACAATCGCCACATTAAGCTTAAAATTATGACGCGACTTCAATTTCTGTGTCAGGCACGTTGGGTAAAAAAACACGAATGCAAATTTGAGAAAATGATAATTACTCAGTTTTACTGGGAAAAGGAAGTCGCGAGGAACCAAAGCTGGATATCGAGCAGCGACACCAACGATTCTAATATCTAATTCAAAAATTGGAATCAGAGTGTTGAGACTACTGATATTGACGGTGAGTACCGTATGAAACATCTAATTAACACCGCTTACCAGAGATCATAGTAGAGGTCAATCTCGATTATACTCCTCTCCGCCTAACATGGTCACATCGCTCATGTTCTCCTCTGTATAAATACGGAAATTCTGCTCAATGGGTAACACTGTTAGTGCAGCAAGACTTAGACATTGGTCAATCGTGAAATTATCTATATTTGGAAAAAAGAGAAAATTTATTTTTAACCCAGCGATGTGGTGCATCGCGCTAAGCGTTAGTAATCAAACCGTGCAGGTTCGCAAGTTTGAATTGCATACGGGGTGCGGTAGTTATGTGCAAGAGCAGGGGTTCTCAAGCTTCTTTCATGACGACCCCAAGGACATCTTTCAAGTGTCCAGTGCGACCCCATGCCAATATATATATTTTTCATGAAACTTCAGAGCTTTTTTCACTGTACTTTTGAGTTTGGTCATGTGGTGGTATTAACCTTAAAAGTTTCATTTATATAAATAGGATTTGTTTTACGCTGTGGAGAATGGTCACAGACTCATACATCCCGATTATCTTGAGTTTGCAAAGATAACGAGACCTCTGAAATCTATTTCCGGACTCTCGTTTGGTAATGAATGTCTTAGCCACAGGCTAATTACCAGCTTACTATTTCAGCACTTTATGTTTTTTTTTGTGTTCTAGAAACGCCAATTGTAACGTCATTATCACAGTTTGAGCACGTGTATATTTGAAATAATTTAATTATATCGGTATCTTAATTATACGTACCGATATTGGCCTTTCGCGGCGCTCCACTTTTTAGGTTTGGTCGCGGTCAATCAACTTTGGGAACCACTGTTTTAGGCTTAGGCCATTAAGTTTGCATTCACTCGTAATTGAATTGTCATACAGCATGGGTCCGCATAATTTGTTTATTTTTGTTGTGATTTTGATGCTGTCTTCTAGGACTGTTTTTAGCAAACATTCTATTTGATGTACATTTACTTACTTGGAAAAAGACATATAAGGTTATTTTTGAATATCGATATGTTTGAAATTTGCATAACCCTTCAGTCAAATTATATTTCATGAATTTTTTCCAAATTTTCTAAACAGCTTTTAACAAATATTCAAAAAATAATAAAAGGTAAATGTATTAGGTTGTGGAAATGCAAATCCTGGCTCTATTAGTTATTCTATCTTTTTATATCAAGTGTGAAGGAAAATGAATTTTAAATATACTTTTATACTAAAACTCTTGTTGTCAGAGATGTTGCAAGACTGACGTTCTCTAACATTGCGGGTTTCTAACTATGTGCTAACTCGGACCATATCATCCTTATTCCCAGCCAGCTTAATTATACCAAGTACTAGCCTATGTCGGGTATGAGAATATGACCAGACCATGCCGACCAGTGGTTACTTTAACCACATTGTCACGTTGAGGAGTTCAGCAACTCTCTCGCACTTAATTATCTTCAACGAGATGCGAACTGGCATAGATTAATCAGAGATGTGATGGCATTGCTTGTCTTCTCACATTCTCTTTATTCATGCGGCCACTGGTTGATAGCAGCCAACACGCAAGATCAATCTTATCTGGAAATAATTTGCCTGGGGCATTTGCAAGAATGTATATTTGCCAGAAAGGCCAGTGATGGGAGGCCCCGGAATATGAACCACCTGACTGGAGTCCAATTCATCAAAAACTGGATTTTGTAGTCCATACAGTTCATACTCCTTAACATAAGAATATCCTGGAGAAGCAATTTTAATTTGAACTTATAAAGGGATGAATTAGGACTAACGACCAATTATTCGCTGTTTATGTACTACCTGGTGGTGGATATTGTAACAGACCAACGGTTGCGTGAACCGGTGAACGATTTCGGAGACAAGCCAAGTGACCGGGACGTTACTATTTGTACCTGAAATTATGTCCAAACCCTAACCTGATACACATACTACGTTCCGGTGTCCGCCCTCTTGGTTCACATATTACATGAGTACCCGTGAACCACCAAGAACAGCAAGCAATCTTATAGAACACAACCAACCTCCACGCGTAATGTAACCAGAGTTGCAACGTGACGGGTCTAGAATTTAACTCGTTTTTATTGATGTTTTCGGTATTGCCCGATGCGTTAGATTTCACCGTTCTTGCCAATTCCTAGGACATCTTTTCCGTTACCTCGTCTTAGTATGCTCGTCGCTAAATTGAATTGAATGTCAATAAAGTCGAGTATGACTTTGTGCTCTGTATTATATCTGTTCAAATCCGTGCATTTTTGTTGGGAAATAAGGTCTTTTCTGGCGTCTTCATATTATCGAACCTATTGTGTGGCTTTGCAGCACACGGAATATTCCACGGATTTTACAGACTGGCCAGCACACTTAATAGTGAAGCCGCACCACTGCACGTGTTACCAACGCTTAGCGCGAATCACCAATGACAGAAGTCTGTCACAAATTTCGAAGTTTGAAGTCAAAGTTAGCTAGGCACATGTGTACTGAGTACACATTCCATTTAATACTACATTCGCGCTAAAGTCTCACCCCAAAATTCCATTTTTTTAAACTACCCGTAAAACTCCGTTCTCGCAGCACTGCGTTATCGAATAAGTAAGTCCGTTTTAGAACTCTATTCTTCCAAAATGACTTTCACACAAAGTCTCGCAAAAGTTAAGTCCCGCAAAAGTGCATTACTAAAATTTACAAACATCAATGGCGCTCGCAGTCAGCTGTTTTTCCGTTCTCCAATCCAACTAACAAGTCTGTTTTCTAATACATGGTTTATTGCCATCTAAGCATGATTAAAAATCACTACGAAATTTGAAGGAATTCAAAACAACGAAATTATAGTTTTAATAAAAGTTTTCAGAAATTTGCATGAAAAAAATGTTTCATTTGCATTCTATCATGTAAAGGTCCGAAACGGAAAATAATTCTACATGTACTTATACAAGATTAAACGGATATTTAGAATATTGACGGAATGGTTTGATTGGTTCAGGTATTTGTTATATTGATGTATTGAAAATGAAAACTTTATCTCGGTTGATTAGTCGGAAAGTCATTGAAAGATTGTTTTTGTGAAATGAAAATATATTTACATTTTACCAAGGGCTGTGTAGTCATAGTTCTACTGCAAGATATTGAATAAACCGAAATCAGAGTTTGATTATATTATTAAAAATGAGAAAAATTTGAAATTAAGAACATGGAAAATTTTGGCTTCTGTCTTCAAATAATGATCTGGTAAAATTCGAAATTTTGTATTTTGACTTGAGGAAATTGGAAAAACGACTTTTGACTCAATTTTCATAAACACAAAATTTTTGTAGGATAAGTTCGGTCAAGTATTTGAAGTTTTCGTTTAAAATTGCAACAATAATTTAGAAAAATTTTGAACATGCGACTTCAAAACCACAGCCTTGGTTTTGATTGATTGATGATTGAACATCTTTACACTCTTGGACGGAATTTCATTTTTGTGAACTTCATTGAATAACTGCCTCCCTTCCAATCTACTTGCACAATTGCCACTAGACTTATTATTGTCCTGATCCGTCGTCGAAAACTTCATTGCGGTATAATATTTAAGTGAATCTCCAGCATTTCCTGAATATCCTCAAACATTGAGTTGATATTTTGTAGAAGCTGATCCGATGGGAAACGACCTGAAATAGGAAAATATAATTTCAATAACATATAGATAATGCGTTTTGACATAAAATTTCATATCGAGACCGCAACCTCGACAAAGCGATTTCGCGTCATCTATTCCAGGGCTTCCTAAACTAGGGGCCGCGAAACGAATTTTAGGGGCCGCAAAGAGAACACCAATTTTACACAAAGTACCATATATATTGTACTTTTTTCAGACTCTCGATTCGAAATACAATTATTATACAAATAGTGTAAAACAAAGATTTCACGATTTCGAGTGAATACATCATCATAATACCGTGTTTTTCCGAAAAAAAGACACTGTATTCAATTTTCTATCGAAAATACCACAAGAGCTTATTTTTGGTCTAGAGAATAATGATATTTTTCATTATACAAAATATGAATACCGATTTCCATTTACTTATAAATAGCACGTTTTTATTTTAAATAACTGCTACATATAGACCTTTAACCATTTAAAAAAGTAGAAAATATTTCTTGCTATCGAAGTGGTTCTCGAACTTCATCGTATTGTGACGCTCTTCAAAAATATGCTCCAGTTGCGACTGCCCGTGAAAATACGTATAGATACCTTTTATTAAAAGAACTTTTTCGCAATGAGTTTCATATAAACGAACAAACAAAACTTTACGACAGTCAGTGAAATCGCAATTAATGGGCCTTGGTAGAAAAGAATGTAAATCTGTAAATACGAAATCGCAAAGAAGATGGGAGTGCGCAATGCTTTTTGAACCAAGGACAAATAATCTTTATCTACAGAAAACCGAATTTCCAGAATTAAACTTTTCTATTATAGCAACATCACAGGTAAGATCGATTCAATATTTCTTTTTTTCAGTGAAAGTAGAAACCCGATTTGCGGTTTGCATAACAATGACGGCTTTAATAGTTAAGCTAGCGGTTGACGAAGACGATTTGCTGAGTGCACCTCGAAACATATTACATATCAAATTTATTCTAAATGTTTTATTGTTTCAAATGACGTGCTTATGAATCAAAGGCATTTTGCCGTTCTATTTTGTTTACTTTCTGTACGTAGGATCTATTGTTACGTAATATAGAGATAAACCCTACATGCTGCAATTTTGTATAGGCTGCAGTTTATTCATTTGCTGAACCGAGTTCATCAAATTTGAGTGATTTCTTTAGCATTTTAAATAAAAACCAGGCAGTGATAAAAAAAAAAGTTAACTTTTTGCCTTTTTCCCCGGGCTTACATGATAAAAACCTCAAAAAGACTTTTTTTAGTTCATATTAACGATGACAAAATTGTGTTTTGTTTTGAGGCCGTATATTTTTCGTGTAGGTGCGCCATGAGTTTTTTCCCTGATAATTTGGCGTCGCATAAAACGCTGCCTTATGCTAAGTTTGATCAATAAGAGTGAACAATTCGAGAGAAGGGCCATGTCCTCGGTAGCCATACAACGTAATTCATCATTTAGCCCTGTATAAACATACATTGAGCCTTGCTATGCAGCAAAAAGCATTCGTACCCATTACACTGAATAATTGAGAAACGTTAATTTGAATAAATATGTGCTTGTTTTCGTTATTGAGTAGACATGTTAAAGTTGAGAATTAGCTGTGCCAATAAAACATCAAAAATGCATAATTCGAACTGTATGGCATTATTTAACATGGACAAGGGCCGCGAAAAATTTTATTATTCAAGAAGGGGCCGCGAGCTCAAAAGTTTGGGAAGCCCTGATCTATTCTATATGATGATACAGGTCGCAAGAAATGCGCGAAGAAGGCTGTAAACAAGATATCACTAATAGGTAGGCGGCTGTTTTGAGACGATCGACAATTCTCTAGTTTTGTCTCATTTAGTGAACTTGGCCAATCTCATAATCAAAGCTATTACTCAACGAGAAAAATTTTCATCGAGAACAAAGTAAAGATAAGATGTCGGATATGAAATAATAAACAAGTTGCCGGAGACAAAGCTTCCCAATTCAGCCTAAATAGTATTCCCGATGCTAAAGTTTTGTTTTTATCAAAACTTTGTTGTTCTCGAGTTTGGACATGTAACTTCGTACGCAATACCCGCAACTATAAAAAACAGGTAAATTAAGATTGATAAAATACTTACGAATACTTGGCGTAGCGTTTATTTCCCTCCCAATCTTCCAAATCAATTCTGATATCAAAGTCACCGTCTGATGTTAATCGATGAAGTTTCTCCAATCCTAACAAATTTGAGAATATTGTAAATTATTATATTTTATTATGTGCTTCACGATTTCACTCCGGACAAGATTCGCAAGCGACTATGTTTGAGAGAATATTTGCACTTCAGCATGGTTTACACCCAAGCTATTACACATAGAGTAAAGTTACATTCAATTCCAATCGTTTTAATTTCAATTAGCTTTCATATATATATATTTATCATAGAATCTCGTTTCCAGAATTACCAGTTTTCTAGTGATATGTTAACCATGTACTCTTATAAATATTAATGAACTAGAAGTTCCTTGAAAGGTTTTATTATTATACCAAGCCTAGCCTTTCCAACAATCATCTATCTTACCCATCCAATATTCCGAGGTTAAATTTCCAAATCCATTCGCATATGCATTCCAGTTATACGAGGTGAAATCGAGCATTCCGTTAGACCTTCTTTGAAAAACCTGTTGCAGAAAATGTATCTATTTGTTCCGTATGCCGAGCAAAGAATAACAAAATATTGCCTGTTTACTGCACTAAATATCGGTGCGTCGTTTCTAACCAACTAGGCGATATACTCATTTACTATTCGAATTCTTTTGGTAAAGAAGTACACGTTCTTATAACAATTTAAGTACACGTTCTAATAACAGCTTAAAATTCCGACCTCAGCTGGTGGAAAAAGTCATTACACAGGCTGTGGTTCTCCGTATCTTAAGTGTGATTATGCTCTTATAACAAATACTGTCGTTGTCTTTGGTGTGTGACGCCTTTCTTCAAAGTGCATTTAAAATGTTTAAATTGCAAGATAGCATTCCAAAATCAAAGGATATGTTGAGTCTGTATATTACGTACAACTTATTTACTTAGTTTTGCCAGATGAGTCTACGACAGAAACTACTGTTTTAATTGATTTAATTCAACAGATATATCAGGTTGGTTCTTAGTGTGTCATAACTGCAGTCTGCCCAAGATGATCCAGACAATACAGGCTCACAAGTGCATCATAAATCATTGTAATCTTGTATATTAAATACGAAATTTTCTCACCATCCATTTCCCTCCGTCTGTCGATGTGTCGCAATAAACGTGATATAGTAGTGGAATATGGAGTGGTGCTATAAAGTGAAATTACTGTCATTAACATGTAAACTTGGACAAAAGTGACAATTGATTTTAGAACAACATTGTTTGTGTGCAGCGTCTGGCACGGTGGCCCTCGCCTGTATTAAAGTATACTGCCTAGTTGGGCCAGTAGTAACAAAAAGTGGCTAATATCCGACTTTTGTATCTTGCTATAAATATTAGATGTGGCATTACCCATTATTTTTTCTTCTACAATCTCTCCGACTCTAGTGTAGTTCACCGCCTACTGGCCCACGCGGCCCGGAAATGCCGACGGCCCTTGAGGGCCAGGGACTCCAGAGGACCCACGGGGGCCTGACACTCTAATAGATCAACACGAACCAGGCACTTCTTCGTGACCGCTGGAACCAGGATTTCCAATTGGCCCTTGCAGGCCGACTTGTCCTGGAACTCCCGAAGGACCCCGTGGCCCAGTTTTTTCAACCCGCGGCCCTCTCTGTTGTCTTGCCGATGTATTGTCGGTATCTTGAGACACATACGTTTCGCAATATCGATTCATTTGCTCGGTCAGTACTGTCCCATAATTATCTAAAGCCGATGCGTTCTCCGTGGAAATTATTTCAACAAATATAAACAGGGTGATATATTTGATTATGGTTAGTTTCGATAATAATCGTTTTTTTCTAAGATGAATAAACAACACTTTAGAATTACAACAGAATTACAGTAGATAACACATACAACACGCAAATGGAATCCGGCTGAAGTCTGCAACATCTTTGTTCTGCATTTTAGATTTATGGCCTTTTATTATGTTGGCTTCAAGTCGGAGTCTAGTCTATTTAAAATTTTAAAACATTTTCTAGAACAGTGGCTCCGTGGGATTTTAGCACCCATGGCCTTCTGTTTATCATTCCATTGGTACTTATAGTGTGTTATTTTGAATGGTAGATTCCATATTCCATTATGTTTAAACAATTCTTGCTCAGCGAAGTGAAAATATTTTGTGAAATAACCTTATCAAGCAATGAAACTAGAAAGAACGGTGAGTTATTTGTGAAGTAAAAATTAAGAGCAATTTTGCGTCTAGCACTGTGTCCCACCTCCAACTGCTATGTGGCCCCCATTTGGTTGCGAATTTTATAGAACAACGTTTCCCAACCTAGAAGGAAATTTGCTGTTTTGGGTAAAGAATGTTGCGTTGAAGCGTCCTATGTATGTACCTAGGCGTGTTTCTTGCCTGTTTCAACAATCAGGTTTTCAGAAAATAGATTGTGTAAACCAGGTATGGAGTGGACCAGGTCGGAAGCCGTGGCGTTTTGTTGGATCTGGAAACAAACTTGCTATATTACAGAAGAATTAGAAATTATATTAGCTTCTATCCCAACAATCTAATTATTATATTCTATCTTGCAGCTAAAAATCTGTAAATTGTGCTCTGTCGTAATTTTTAAAATGCTCTGTTCAAAATATTGGTTCTATGCGGCTTAGGGTAATTTAAAATGCAACCTCCATTCCAACAACACCAAAACCTAACAAACTAAACTACCTATCACCCCAACCGCAACAAACTAAAATTATTTTAGCATCAGACACTGACCAAGCGAAATATGAATGAGATTGAATTTACGCCAAATTTTAATGCGAAAAGGCAAGCCATGACATCATTTTAAAAAGATAGAGAAAAAAAGTGAGCAAAATACGACGAGAGTAAATAACGAGAGATTTGTACACAATTCAACACCCCGATATCCCAGCTCCACATTGCGTGCGAGGCAAAGCCCCACGAACTATGAATGGAATTCCTATGCACTGGACCATGAACGTATCTTCGCACGCAATTTTGGAATAAAATAGGAAAATAGAGAATTTCACCTCATGATGTCTTAGATATTTCCAAACGTTAAAATTATTTTATGCAAGTTTGCTCAAATTATTTTTCCAAAATTACTAAATAGTATGTACTACCTAGTCGATCCGTTTGACTTTGTTATGTAAGTGCATTGCTTATTTTGATGGTTTCAACCTTTTTTTAGCTAATCTGAGACTTAAGCTTTGGCTACTGAAATGCAGTCTCATATGTGGTGTTTCGTTTCTTAATTGCTATCTGCTCTGAACAGAAACTCGTATACAACTGAACTCCGTTTATTGAAAACAGCGGCACAACTTAAACAATACAACAAAACAGCGATCATAAACAAACGTCTACAAGTTAACACAACTGTATATCGACTGGGGCGCCAGACGAATAGATGCGATGCATTGCGCCGCAACAATTAAGAGTTGTCGCGCTACTCATCATTTGAGTAATCACATTACGTCACATCTTCCCGTCAAACAAGAAATAGCATATTAATACACATAGCATCAATAAATGTGCAATAACATAAAACATTATTTATCAATACCCATATCTATCAGGTCTTTTAACAGTGCGTGTAGATCTGCGGAGAGGGGGGTTGATCTATGTTCTATTTGATCAGATACACAAGGATTAACTAAAACACTGCTATCGGGAATATTATCATTAATGATTGGGTCATGTTGTGTTTTCATATCGCCATTAATATAGGAAGATGTGTGTGGATCAGAAATACTACAATCGTAATCATAATTCTTTGGGGTTGGAACTCATCAGGTTCTCTTGTATGCCTCAAATGCCTTCGATTTCTTCGATAAAGACCACCATCTTCAGTTCGGATCAGATACGATCTGATGTCAACTTGTCGTTCAATTCTACCTTTGCGCCATCTTTTCCCACGGTCCGGCTTCATTCTGACCAACTGGCCCGGATACAATTTCATCAGCTCCCTCGTTCCCCTGTTGTAATATTTAGCTTGAATGTCTTTACGCTTCTTTAAATGTGGTTCAATATTCGTAACAATTTTCGGACGCAGAAGAGATTTTGATGTTGGGAACAGAGTTCTTGTGCGTCTTCCAAATAACCTTTGTGCTGGTGAACCTGGTATTCCTTCACTCGGCGTATTACGCCAATCGAGCAACGCATGAAATACATCACTCTTACTCTCAATAGCTTTTATCATTATGCTCTTTATTTGTTTAACGGCGGTCTCTGCTTTGCCGTTGCTTTGGCTATATGTAGGAGAGCTTGTAACATGCTGAAAATCATAATCTTCAGCAAATATTCTAAATTCCTCGCTACTATATTGAGGAGCGTTGTCAGAAATCAGTTTTTCTGGTAAGCCGTGTCTAGCCATGTGTTGTTTCAACGCTTTGATAACTTCTGCAGATGGGGTCGTATGAAGTCTGTCAACTTCGCAAAAATTGGAGTAGAAATCAACTGTTATCAGATAGTTTCTGCCTTGCAGTTCAAATGAATCGGACGCAATAATTTGCCATGGTCGAGAAGGAATCTCATGGTGAATTATCGGATCTTTTTGTTGATTAGGTTGAGACACTCGACAAGTAGTGCATGACGAGACATAATCATGTATGTCACTGGCCATTTTT